GCCTGATTCGTCGCTATGAACTATCAGACGTCTGACCTGCACACGAGTGTCTACCATGACCATCCACAGATGACTGATAGAGCGAAATCTACGCTCGTACCGAACATTACGCCACCTGCCACTCACGCCTGCACATTGTCGAGCTAGATTACAGTGGTGCTTGGCTCGATCAGGTTGAAATGATGCTGACTGGAGACGTACAGTCTTTAGCGACGAATCCCGCTTCTAACTGTGTGATGACGATCATCAAAGACGTGTCTGGAGACGCCCAAAGCAGTGTGCCGATCCTGCTTTCACTATTGCATGCCACACAGGCCCGCAACCAGCGTTATGGTCTGGGATGCCATTTCCTTTGATAGCCGGATCCTTTTGGTCGTCATTGGAGACACATTTACAGCACAGCGGTTCGTCAACGACATTCTGAGACCTGTTTTGCTACCGTTCCATTTGCGGTACGCTGGCCCTATTTTTCAGCAAGATAATGCCAGATAAAGATCGCGTTGCTACAGTCTCTAATACAGCTTGTCAAACAATGGCTTGGTCAGCCAGATCGCCAGATCTCTCTCCCATTGAGCATGTCTGGGATACTACGAGAGAATGTTGAGGACCTAGCCCGACAATTTGTGCAAATTTGGGAAGAAATACCGTCGAAGACTATCCGGGAGCTTGCATCCAGACTAGAGGTGGGTCAACACCTTATTGAGCTCGTTACTTTGTAACTTTGAAATAAATCATTCAATTGTTCTGAAATTTTAATAATTTTTATTCTATACATAATCTTCCTAGCTACCAATTTTTGTCTCCATCGGATGATTCCTTCTTGGTGCGTCGATTTTTTGTTGTAGTGTGTATTTGGTATTAAATGCGTTTGGTGTATTATTTTGCTTCGCTTGCAGTATTACTGTTTTATAACATAACTATATGTATAATTCTTCAATAAATATGTTTGAGTGGGGGTTTTAACAAAGCAGAAAATGTTTGCACGTTTTGACAAACTGATACATAAAATGTATTTTTTGTTTTGTTTGTTTGTTTCTCATATTAATGTTAATAATACTTCATTTTAAGTGTTAACCATAAGCAGTTTCTCTTTTAATATCGTCACTGTGTAAAGGCGCTCGCTAGACATTTGCACGACGGCGCCAGTTAGGCTCAGGGCGGGCCTGTCCACAATACTGAGGGATAAATAGAAGGGCTAGGTCATTCCTTTGTTCGACTCCTCGCCGACGCGAGGCTTATGAAGGGGGGGGAACCAGAAGTAATCTGACATCTCTCTGTTGCACCTGCTCTGATTTCGCGCCTTTAAAACTGTAGTTTCATTCATTTGTGAGACGATTTTCTGGAGATCGCATATCCCAAATTAATGTTTAATCATACATATTTGTTTTCTAATAATGCAAATATTTAAAATAATTTGTGTATATATATATATATATATAGTTTTAGCCATTTTTTTCCTTTTTAAATTCTATATTTAAAAAAAATATCCTTTATGTAATATGGCTTCTTGTGCTGTAGCAACGTGCCGTAAACACTTATAGAAAAATACGAAAGGAAAGATATTGTATTTCATGCTTTTCCCAAAGGATAATTTGCTTTTGACGAAAGAATGGATACATAAATGTCGAAGACAAGATTCTATTAATGTGAAAAACGCAAGAATTTGCAGCGAACATTTTCTGTGCAGTGATTATGAAGATGACATGAGAAATCGCTTGCTTGGATTGCCGCAAAAGAAACTGTTGAAATGCAATGCTGTGCCGAAGGTAAATTTATCGTGTGCAGTAAACGAAATAACACAAAGAAATCGGAGACATTTGAAAAGAAAACTAATGCAGAGTGCTTTTGAAAACTACACGAATTAAGCCCAAAGAAAATTTATTTTTTTGAGGCCGAGAACGAAATTGAAGCTGACAATAATAAATCAAATGTGAATGATTTTGAAATAAACTCACAAGTCACAAGTGACAATGCCCTATGTGACAATATCCCTGAGTGCCCTAAGTGTAAAGATAAACAAGAATGTATTGATAATTTTGAAGAACAAAATAATATCCTTAGAAAATTGTAATAAAATATTGAAAAATAGAGAAAAGAAAAATTTTAGAATGTTTTGCTCAGCGACAAAAGAAGGTGGGACGACATCTAGAAAGAAATTTGTATCGGAAATTCAGAAATTAAAATCCCAAACAGCGAAATTTAGGAAAAAACAGAACAGATCGGAGAATTTGGAAAAACGTTTAAAGCATATTTTTACAAAGACGCAGATTAACGCATTGCTAGAAAAGAAGGAAAAAATCTGGTGGACTAGTGAAGATATTTCACGTTGCATTGTCATAAGAGCTCTGTCATCTATAAGGAACGTTTTTGGTAAGAAAAAATAGGAATTCCTTTACCTAGCACTAACATATTAAGGAGATGGTGCGCTAAATTTTCATGTAGTCCAGGAATTCAGAGTGATGTTCTTGCTGTAATGAAGGAAAGATGCCAATATTTGAATTCTGTAGAAAAAAATATGCGTTCTCAGTTTCGACGAAATGCATATAGATTCTAAACTCTGCTATGACTCTAAACTGGACCAAATTCTCGGTCCTTTTGAAAAAGTGCAATTTGTTTTAATCAGAGGTCTCATTTCGCAGTGGAAACAACCAATATTTTTTTATTTTAACACTCCAATGAAGAAAGAACTTCTTTTTTCACTCATAAGACATATTCAATCATCTAGAGTAGAAGTGAAAGCAATAGTGTCTGATTTAGGAGGATATACTACTTTGTGGAAAGAGTTACAGATTTCGATTAATAGTTCTCAGTTTCCAAATCCAGTATTCCAAACGAAAAAAATATGGGTTTTTGCAGATTTAGCGCACTGCCTCAAATTACTGAGAGATCACTTTTTGGATAAAGGATTTGTTCAAGAAGATGGAACTGTTTTAAATGTTGATATCATAAAAGATGTTTTAAATAAAGATTCAGGAGAAATTAAATTGTTGTCACAAACTAAAACCAAATTATTTAATGGTCAAGGGAAACGAGAGACAAAAAGTCGCTCCAGCGAAAACATTATTTTCAAGAAGTACAGCAAAAGGTATACTCCACCTCACAGGAGATAAAAAAAAAAAGCATCCGACTTCTTTGAGTTAATCGACAATTTTTTCGATATTATGAATAGTACGAAACATACCCCCTCCTTCAGATAAAATACTTAAAGCAGCATTTGGATTAAATGAACATCATGAAAAACAAATTCAAGTTTTGGAATTAATGAAGAAAGTCATTGGTGGATTAAGAGTTCAGGGAAAAGCCAACTTACTGCCTTTCCAAAAAGGAATAATAATTTCAATAAATTCTCTTTTTGGCCTACATCAGAATTTGAAATCATAGTATGATGCTAAATATATTTTAACCTCTAGATTAACTCAGGATGCACTTTAAAGTCTCTTTAGTCAGATTAGAGGGCTTGGTAGGTTTAATGACCATCCATCACCTAGTGAAGTTATACGCCGCTTAAAGCAATTAATACTCGCTAATAAGCTGCCAAATTTATCTTCAAAAGTATGCATAACTAAAGAAAGCAGAAATATTGATTCATATTTAACATCCGAAATACTTGAAAGGGCTTTGAAAACTGAGGAGGAAGATGCTTTTCCATTAAATACTATTGATGATTTGGATTTGGATTTCATAGAGGAACCTTCTCCTATGGCATGGGAATTAGAATTGAATTCCGACAGACAATTTTCGACAGCCGAAAAAGAAGCATTAACATATGTTTGCAGGTTATATTGTCTATCGTGTGCGAGACAAAGACCCATCATTGGGAACAATATCTAAAAATAGTGCTGATGAACCAATATTTAATTCAGAATGGATTAAATTATTGTCCTTAGGAGGTTTGACTACACCTTCCTCATTCATGGATGAATACAGTTTATGAGTTCGAAAAACATATTTTGTGCAGTTCATGGTACAACTTACTATAAAGGGAAGCATGTAATTGGCTCTTTAATTAATAAACTGGAGAAATATTATCCTGAAGTTAACAGAGAAGCAATTCGTTTATTTTGCAAAGTGAGAACTTTTATTAGAATACGTTTCTTAAATAGAAATGCATATGTTTTTTTCCCAAAGAAAAGCAACCCAAAAGGCAAAAAAATGGATTGCTTCGAATGTGGCAGCCAATAAATAATGTTTCAACAACTTGTAGTTGCATTGCGACACTGTACAAGTAAGCATATATAATATGTTTTGATTTGAAATATTTCTAGATGGCATTTTAGAAGTTAATAGCCTAAAGCATATTAATTCAAATGAGAACTAATTCTGTTAAGTTATTGTTACAGTTATTTTTATTGTATCCTCTGTTATTATTGATTCGATTTTGTGTTAGCTTAGCATTCTAGATAAAATATATATAAAGTATAACATTATTGTATTATTGTATACATTATAAACTATAACATAAGTAATTGGCATAAGAAGACCTGCCCCCCTAACACCCACTTTTGAAAAATTAAATAATTATTTTTAGGTACTGTGAGTAAAGTTGTTTTGTCTAAATTAAGATAATAATCTTACATGTATTTATTTAAATGAAATATTGATGTAAGCCTAAGTTACAAAATATTTTAAAAAAATATATGTTATTATATTGAATCGGGATAAAAAATATGCCAATGTAAAATTTACAATTAGGCTGAAACTCAAACTTAGATTAGCAGAAATTTTGCCATATATAACCATACATGTTTAAAACTATGCCAATTTAAGGTTGTTTTTTGATTAATTTTAAATAGCTGTTATTAAAGTTATCTTAGAAGCAGTAGTACGGTTCTCTTAGTTAACATGCAGATAAAGAAATGATTAGAAACAAACAGGCATTTAAAGGGAAAAAAAAAATCCCTGCAAATAAAAAAAGGAACTTTATGCTAAGAGTAGCGCACTTTATCTATTATTTTAAAATTGAGTAAGTACTATTAAATTTTGTAATGTTCAGTGTAAAATGCATACTGCAGTAACATTGTCTCTTCCAAATTATAGCTATCTTTCACACACAGCTCATTTTAAACGTTGGTTCTTCAAATTTAAAACGCTAATTTCTATGTTGTCAATTGCATCTCCGCGCTCGGTGGCATCATTGCTACGTCACCACTCCTCACTGCATGTTTCAGGGGGAAACGCTCTATGAGCTAGCCCTTCACTGACAATACTAGTTTTAAACTAGTCCTGACAATACTAGTTTTAAACAGGCGAAGTCAGAGCAGGTGCAACATAGTGACGTCAGACTACTTCCTGTTAACCCCCTATGAGGATTGCGCCGGCGAGGATATAAATATTATTATTATACAAAGGTATGAAATAACTCTTCTATTTAACCCTGGGGTAATACTTAAGTACCATATGGTTTAATGCTTCTCTTTACCCTTCATTGGTAGCTGATGCAGCTGCTTAAATTCTTACAATTTACTTGCTTTCGAATTAGTTTTGTATACAAATAGTCAGTCTTAAAATTAGGGCGAGCAGCTAATTTAAGAATTAGTTCCCAGAAATTCAAGATACAAAACCTAAAATCAGATATATTAAAATAAACTCTTTAAACTAGCACGGCAAGACTGCAAAGGCGGAAAACTTATGTTATTATTTCAGGATAAATTTAATGCCACATGGAAAATTTAGCATTCATTTCATACGGTAGGAAAAAAAAAAAAACTTCATTTTTCAAAGACGTAGCTGCGCTTTTTTACTCCTTAGAGGTCTGCGTACGAGACTTGCAACAAATATTTATCCCAATAAAAGGGTAACAATTTATGTATCGTTGGGATTCGAATTTCATACAACGACAAGAAAATTTTTCGTTGGTTAGATAAAAATAAGTTTATTTGCTATTAATAATAAATATCTGTCATAGAAAGTAATAATTTGTAGCATAAATTTTATTGCCAAAATAACGCAAATTTTATTTTTTTCTTTCTTGTGCTATTGGAAATAATAATGCTCTTTAAACAGTTTTAAGATATACAAGTGTATTTATGAAAATAGGTATGGTATTTTACATACGCAAAATAACGTTTAAAATGAAACTCAGTTTAATTCAACTGCTAAAAACATTATATGAAAATATAGTTTTTAAACACCTTATTTTAAGAAATAAAACACTACAAGATTTATTCGTTATTGCCAGTTTGCCTTAGAATTTTTTACACATTATATGAATTAGCAGAATAAATAATTCATCTGGCTTATAAAACTGCTTGGAGGAGTAAAATAATTCTTCAAATTTTAAGGGACACTTGAATAAATATACCATTCTGTAACTTCTTTTTTTCATAAATAAAATTTCTAATCAGTGAATTTTGTGATAACGTTTTCATAATTTTAACAATTAATTTTTCTAAGTTTATTTTGAGAAGTGACTGAGCTTTTTTTTTGTTTTGGTAAAAAATGCAAATAAATATAATTTCACATGATAATTTTTAGTTTACATCTTTCATAATGATATGAAATGTGCTTTTAATTGCAGATTTCAATACCAGATGGCAGCACAAGTAACAGCAGGAAGTGAGTAGCGAGAATAAATTTTGAACATGCCTCATTCTTTGAAACACTAAAAATTTTTATTTTAAACATTTATTGTCAAGCGAAAAAACCTATAAACCTTCCAAACATAAAATAATTAAAAGAAAAAAGGGATTTGTATTTGTCTGAATATTCAGGCAATATTGTATGTGGTAGCGTGGCCGAGCGGTCTAAGGCGCTGGTTTAAGGCACCAGTCTCCTCGGAGGCGTGGGTTCGAATCCCACCGCTGCCAGTATTTATTAGTTTTTTCTTTTTTTTCTGAAACTTTTATCGACAATGTATGTGTTGCTTTATAATTTTTACTTTTATTTCCATTTTTTATTAATCTATGTACTTGTTAAAATTTTTAAGGTACGTAACTGACAGTTTCTATAAACGCAAAAGAACAGTTCTCGTCTTATCGTTAAATATTTTAATCTAAGCACATTAGCTTTACATAAATGCAAGCGATTTGTTATTAATGCAACTTACGAGAGGCAACAATATTTAATTTTAATTTATTGGTGTTCTAAAAAGAATATTCTTTAAAAAAGTTATGCATTAGAATGCGGAATTCTATTGACTTGCTTGGTAGAATAATAAGATGTAAATTAAAACGTCTTTGAGAATCTTTAATGTGTAATGTTTCTTTATTAAAACCTTTGTGGAGCCTGAGGCTCAAAGATAAATAAATAAAATACGGTGAATTTTCAGATTGTATCTTTCGCGTTGTTTATTAAAAACGTCTCTAAGGTATGTAGTCGATTACAAACGGCAGGTTTTTTTATTATGTAGCGCTAATTTTTAAACTATCAGTTTACAATCTTAAAAGGAAATTTACTTCTCTCTCCCCCCCCCAATTTATATTCCACAAATCTGGTCAATTGAATGAAACAGATTTAAATATTATCGAATTAAATTTTCTGCTAATAAAATTTAAGGGCATCGTAGTTCAGGTGAGATAATAACGGGTTCGTAATGGATTGAATGCATACAGAATAGTAAGACAGAGGACAATCAGTAGTTACCACTTCAAACTACTAAGAACGTTGAACCCAACGGAATGCAAAGCGCATGTAAAGCGCGAAGCTCGCCATCTAACTCTGAACTAAAACTGAGTAACTGATGATCTCTTCGATCTAATATAATTGTACCCGCCTCTGAGAGATCTCTAGTGACTTCCATGTCTCAAAATTACTGGAGGCATATATGGTTAAAGCTACATATAAGGGCCGGATTCGGTTACAGTTACAAATAGGCATCAGTTACATTATGAATCAGTTATACAGGGATCGGCCCAAAATATCAGTAAATGGTTGCCAAATTTAGCTACAAAAATTAGTCGCCAAGACCATGGCGATATCTCGCCAATTTAGCGAGATAGCTATTTACCTCAATGTTAAATACACTTCCCCTTGTAATCTTTTATTTATTTATTTATTTATTTATTTATTATTATTTTTTTTGCGAAGCCTCGTCACTTCATACTTTTCATGTGACATTATACAAAAGGTATAAAGATTCACTTGTAATTTCACTAAAATTCTAAGCATATATACAAAATTCATAACAATATTAAAGTACTGTAATTCTTCAGTGTTAACTTTTCATAACTGAAATGTTAGTATTTCATTATCATTTCCAAAAGTATTTTATTCCGATTCCTTGAATTCCTGCTGAACGGATGAAAAATATGTTTATCAATTAATTCAAATAAATTATTTTTTCAAAAATAAAAATATTTTCTCCTACATATGTAAGATATCTAAATTAAATAGGAATCTCCAAATCTAAAAGACGAACTTTACTGAAATACTGTTCATAATTTCAGTGTGATTGACTTAAATAAATACGTATTAAAATCCTGAGCTATTTAATTAGAAATATTTAATATTTTTATGAAATTATATTAAAATCATTATATACTTTTTCTTTTTTATAAGTATTTGAGGTGGCTTGGAGCGCAAGCGGCTAATTTTTACAAAAATATTATAGGAATATAAAAACACGTATGGTAATCTTTGACACTCTATCGAGAATTCTAAGGATATGTTATTTTAAAATATTTTGTGGCTTTTTGCCATTGAATTGAATTGAACGTTGCATAAGCACGAAGAATATGATATTTAATAAATAAAGTTAACACATACAAGTTATTAATAATAAGAAAAAAATGTTAGCCATCGTTCTGTTAGCCAAGCTGAATACTGATATGATGAACTGAGAAAAGACTGGAAAAAAAAAAGTATTCTAACACTTAACACTGCATCGGGAATTCTAAACATATGCTGCTATATCACTTTTAAAAATTTTGTGATTTTGCTGTTGAATTGTAGTTGGCGTAAGTACGAAGAAAACGATGCTTAACCCTTCAATGCATGATTTTTTATATTTATACAAAACATTTGTTTTCATCATGGTCATGGCTTAAAAATGGAAAAATCATATTTTTTATTGGTTATTTTTAAAATTTTTAGGTTTGATGCATATATGCATCGTCATGCATTTAGCACTAAAATGTAAACCACATGAAAAATCATTTACAATAATATATTTAATAAATATTGGCATAAAATACTTAATTATTTATTGGTTTTAGAAGATATTGACTTAAATTAAAATTTTATTAATACCTAATTCTAATTAATCATGTTCAGACTTTATAAAAATTAAAATTGCGATGAAAATTTAAATAAAAATGATGAACAAAATATTTTGTACATGTATATGTACATGTAATTGTGCAATTTGTGTTGTATGTAAAATTTCAAAACAATTTCTATCCTTATTTAGGCATAATGCTACATTGCATTTTGCACATCCAATAAATGTTCTGAATTTGCAATTTGGCATTTTAAAACGAGTGTGATTTTTGTTCCATGTGGGAGCATGTTGAATTTTATCCTGTGTGACTCAGGTTGGTGGAATGTTTGATGCAGGACCTGTTTTTTTCCCATTATAATCATTTTGTAAAAGATCGCTCAGTCTTCCACGCTTAGGAACTGAAATTTCACCCATTTTCCACTGTCCACCGGATACCTCAACCCGAAAGGCGGCTAGGTTTAGCAAATCCTTGGAGTTGGTTCCATTCTGTAGAGACACTCTTTTGTACCGCAGCCACGCTTTTATAACCGCCAGGTCTTAGAAATGGTAAAAAATCTTATATACCACTTTCTTGATCTCAGAGTTATTTTGCATCTTCTTCTGTGGCTATCCGGCAAATCTACATTCCCCCATTTGTTCACAACATTTGGGCAGTCCACAGCACCTGTCTCTTTTTTCTTCCAATCGAATATAGTTACATATTCAATGGGGTGTTTCCTATCAAACGTAGACAACACAATCACATTCTTATTGTCTTTCCACACTAAATTACATATTTCAGTTCCACCACAGTCTGCAACGTATTCAACGCTTGTTCTCCTCGACTCTTTTCAGTTGCTCTTCTGCAAGGAGCTTGCAACCTGGAATTCTGTTCCTACGCACAGTTTCCAAACAAAGAATGCCCTTATCAGCTAAACACTTCATTATGTCAAATGAAGTATAAAAGTTGTCAAAAAATAATCTGAAATTTTGATTTTCAGGAATTTCCCTACAAAGTATAATCAACATTTACACTAGTGCCCAATTCTGCATCATTTGCTAAGCGATTGTATTTTTCTTGGCCAGAGTATACCTCAGTCTTGTCAGCAAATCCATAGAGACCACATCAAAAATAGTTTGAAAACAATTACCCAGTAAATGAACTTTGGACATAGTAAAATAAAAATCAGCCCAGTAAACCATCTGCTCTGTAATTATTTTAATGCTAAATTCATTAAAAATTGGTATGATTTATATATGTATCACCATGCATTGAAGGGTTAATAATAAAGCTAAAACGATAAAAATAAATAAATAAAATGCAACAGCAAAACTAGTAGACTGCGAGCTCAGCGAGAGATCACGAATCCTTTTGGGTGACCATTAAAATCTGAAACCTTTCAGAATTTTTTTTTTTTGGGGGGGGAGGGCTTTGTCCTTTACTTGAGCCACTTATTTTGACAATGAACACACCAATAATAAAATAGGAAAAACGTGCATTAAAAATTTGAGCATATAATTAGCAATAAATATGACATGCCATTTAGAAGACTTCTCATTAAATAGGGATTCCCTTTTATAGCTAGCACCACAATGCAGATCAAATAATTACGCTCTGCCTATATTACAGCATGATACGGAAGCATTAAAAATATTTTAATGTGTGTATATTTGACATGTTTCAATTTTTAAGAGGTAACCAGAACAAAATGGCCGGGACCCTACCTTGAAACTGAAACAATCCTCATCAAAGCGGAAGCCCATTTAAAATGATAAACATGTAATTATAAACAAACACTTTTACATTTGTATAATTAATTATCAAATAAAAAATGCTGTGTAACATTTTATTGAAAACTTAAATAATTTTCTATTACTGCCGCACAGTAACCGGCACACATAACACCAGGCATAGGAATGAGGAGATCTAACACACACCGTCTCACATGTGATAGAAAAAATAACTTGTGTACCTTTAACATAACAATGTATACTCATCTATAAATTAATTATTGGCTACCAGTTTAATGTAAAAAATGAATTAACAAAGTGTACATAAATGTTATCGTTTCTTCAAATGTAATTACATCCTAGTACAGAAGTTATATACAGGGTGATCAGCGAATAAGCCCTGATTTCAAAATTAAGTATCTCTACAACAAAAATCGATAGAATTATGCGGTAAACTGTACATTTATTAGCAAAACTGTAAAAATGGTGTACAGAAAGTTAGAAAATTTAGTTACGAAAATCGTTAATAGATGGCGCTCTGCACTGAAAACTTTCTCTGAAAGAAGTAAAAAAAAATTAGTTAAAAAATAAAGTGAAGCAGCCTTTGCAATCAAAATACAACTTTTTCAAAATGTTCACCGTTCGAAACATAGAGGTGACGTAAACGAAATCACGTGCAACACCAATCAAAGATTCAAGCTCATCTAAAGTAGCAGGATTATTTTGATAGACAGCGTCTCTCAATGCGCCCCACAGAAAGAAGTCACAAGAACTCAGATTTGAAAATATGGAGGCGAAGCTATTCCTGTGTCAGTAAATTGAGGATAATCTAACGCAATTACTCTATTCCCAAAGTATTCATGAAGAAAGTGAAAAACTTTATTTGTTCGATGTGGTCGAGCCCCATCTTGCAGGAACCAGTCAATACCTGGTCGATCCTTCAATGCTAGTTGAGTGCTGACAAATTGTTCCAAAATTGTAACGTAACGTTCAGTAGTTATCGTTTCTCGTACGAAAAAGGGTCCGATAATGCCTCTGGCGCATACCACAGCCCATGCCATAACTTTAGACGAATGCAGTGCTTTTTCTTCACACAAATGAGGATTTTTCGGTACCTCAAAATCTCCAGTTTTGTTTCTTAACGATTCCATTCAAATGATAATGTGCCTCATCTGTGAACCAGATGCAGCTCACATCAAATCTGCCGTTTTCGGTCAATGTTAGAATCTAATTCGTAAAGTCAACCCTTTGTTGCACAGCTTTCATGGGTAATGGCCTGATGACTTTCGATTTTGTATGGAAACAGCCGTAGGCTATTTTTAAATATTTTTTGTGTGCTCGTGTACTTCAAACCTGTCTCTGATGCAATACATCGGATGCTTTTCCTAGGATTTTGCTGAACAAATCCAGAAACTTTGGCTGCATTTTCAGGGGGGACTATAGTTTGCTTAGGCTCAACATTTCCCTTTCGATCATCAGTCACGCTCAGTCCATTCGAATGTCGCGAACAGCATGCGAATGGTTTTTGCATCGGGTCCAACTGGAACATTGAATCGGTTTCGAAAACTGCGATGTGTTGCCGTAGGACTGTGTTCTAATTGGTGAAATTTCAGAACCAAAATACACGTTGTTCAGTGGAATACATTATTTCACATTCTACGCTAGCCTCTTTTCACTAGCCAACATTTGTATTGATCACTTTCGACTTCGAAGCACATTTTAAAGGCTATTGATAGGCCATTGCGATTAGAGCGCCATCTGTTAACGAATTTCATAACTAAATTTTATAAACTTTTGTACACCATTTTTACAGTTTTGCTAATAAACGTACAGTTTACCGCATAATTCTATCGATCTTTGTTGTAGAGATATTTAATTTTGAAATCAGGGCTTATTCGTAGATCACCCTGTACTTGGATACCTGTTTTGAAGCTTCGTTTTCCGTAGCAGCATTGCTGTATTTTTTTAATTAAAAAATTATTCAAACTTAGTAGTATGTATTTAATAATCAGGAAAAAGTTTTTCTACTAATTAAGATTTATATTACTCCGTGTCATAATGTATGGTACCTAATGTAAAATGTAGTGTAGCCCAGTGTAAAGTATTGTAGCGTAAAGTATTTTAGTAATATTTCCCAATGTAAAGTATTGTAGTATTGCTTTGTTCCACGTCTTGAAATTATTTATGATAATGTTACAAAGTATTCTACCCAGCGTAAAAAGTATTGTAGCAGAGTGTAAAATATTATAGTAGTACTGTAGCGTAATGTATAGTAATGTAGCGTAAAGTATTGCAGTGTAAAATTTTGTAGATATTGCTTTGTACTCAGCACTATACGATAATTAATTGATCTAAAACCAATGTATTATAGTCATAAAAAGAGGTTTTTCTATTAACCCAAATATATATTATTTTGTATCCTGAATTTATTTATAATTGAACCGCAATACATGGTACTCAGTATAAAAGTATTGTAACCCAGTGTAAAATATTGTAGTGTATAATATTGAAGTGTTTTGCAAGCATCGGGTAGTACTCAGAACTGTATGATAGTAAATTGATCTCATATCATTGTATTGAAGTTAGAAACAGGTATTTGTTTATCCAATATTTATATTATACCGTGTCTTGAATTTAATATATGATAGTATCGCAGTGTATGGTGCCCAGTATAAAATGTCTTGTAGTCAAGTGTAAAGTATTATATTAAAGGTAGCATTGCCCAGGATAAAGTTTTGTAACATCGTAGCCAGTGTAGTCAGTAAAGTAGTTTTTAGTAGCTGAAGTAGAGTAAACCAACAGGGAGGTGTAGACTGTAGAAAGCTAGGTAGAATACTCTTTGTGACTTCATCTTTTGATTTGAAATCAGAAATCTGTCGGATCCGGAATTGGTGATCTGCCAAATGGAAACAAATGCCACAAGGCTAGGGTCGACAGTCCACTTGAGCAGCAATCAGTTCAGTTTAACAACCTTGTTCTCTCTTTATTTTTTAATACAATTAAAAGTATTTTGTATGATGTACAATTAGGCTTACCATTATATTTTTTTTCAAACCGGAACGGTTGTGAGAAAATACTTGCAACAGAAAATAAAGCCCACTAGGATAAGTACCTATGAATGAAAAATCTAAATGAAGTTGTTAACAAAAAACAACAATGAGTTAAAAGAAATTTATAATAACTCAACTTATTATTAATAAGTTATTCATATTTATACCTAGCGTGAAATTAATTTAAAAATCCTTTGTTATTTTAATGGCATCGGTAGATTCACTGCAATTTAGTCCATTGTTAATTTTGCAGGGTGGTAAAGATTTTATGATTGGTTCAGCCACTCTACCTCTTTTTCCAAATGATATAATATTCACAGTTGAGAATAGTCTTTCAAATGCAAATATGCAAATGTGTCTGGCATGCTGAAATGAACTCTGTAATTTGAATAAGATAGGGTGATAATTTGAGTATTATGTTTTCTCTTTGAAATGACTGAAAAGTTATACCTGTTTTTCTTCCCATTTTTTTATTTTCCCGATTTTATAGTTAGCTGACTACCACTACTTCGTCAAAAAGTTGATCCGCGTTTATTTATTATTTACATAAATTTCCTTACTTCTTACTCCTGGTACATCTAGAAAACATCAAAAATACAAGTACTTAGGTCGAGGTACAAAATATTTGAACTGGGAACAATGAGTGCAACAGAGAGGATATTTTAATTGCTAAATCGCCGTTTAACATGCATTAAAAATATTTATGTGCTATTAATGCATTTCGGTTTCTCTATGACGCTCTGTTATCCATGCTGCAATAATTAAGAAAATAAGGATAATTAAAGATATTCATTATTAAGTGAAAAGTTTCATTCAAGAAGAGATATTATTTAGCCTATGGATATAAGGATTATATCTCCAATTCTGTTAGACACAATAGTAATTGATCCTGAAGCAGCTTTATTTCAAACAGTGTTAATTAAAAAACGTAGAGACAAAAAACAGTTTTTAACACACAGTTTTTATTTCAAGATAAGCACATCACAAAAAGAAAACAAAACCATACATAAATCAGAATTCCATATGACCATGTTACACTGAATACTGATATTTATACACTTAAAATTCGGCATTATGAGACAACAATGACATTTACTTGCAATGCATAAAATAAATCCATAATTCGATTTTTTTTCAACTGATACTTATACAATCACTTAAAAATATTATTAATAAATGATTTATAATTAGATAAAGCGAATTAATACTACTTAAAAGGTTATAAATACCGATGAATTTAATTTTAATTGTAATGTCATGTAAATGCTCATGACATTAACAGAAGAATTCCTACAAAGATTTTAACTCAAATTGCCTTGAATTAAACAAATTGTTTGACTTGGAAAATAATGCTTTTGCGTATGTTTAATTATTTTAAAACGCGTATTAAAATTAAATGTTTGTATTCTCATTCTTCAGTTTATTTAATTCAAATAGCAAATTTGTGAGCCATTTGTGAATTCAGTATAATTTCACAGCGATAATAACATGCATTGAAGCTTTATTAATACATCGATTGAGTGCATAGATTCTTGCAGAGTACATAGATTCTTGCACAATATCTTAAGCTGGTACTTGATGCTCAGAATAAATTATATTGATACTTAAAATGCTGCCAAAAAGATCAGATTAATCTTATTTGGTTTACACTAAATAAGAACTTTCTTTGCCAACTGCTACTTATTTCGCGAAACCTGTAGACAAAGTTCATCTTGAAAGTGTGGTGCAACATGCCTCATGATCTGTAAGACAGTCTGTTAGGCGCTCGCTGACACAAATCATAATCTCGAAAATCGTAAACTAGAATCTAATAAAACAATTTTATAACCAAGAAACAAAGAAATTCTTCACCATCGTTGGGATGTAGCATATCTTCAAAGATAACACTTTTTAAGAAAAGCTTACACATCTAACCATAAACATTAGAAGTAAACTATTTTGTTATGGCAGCAATATAACAAATGCAAATACTAAGATTTATCTGTTTCCTGTTTAATATTTATATTTCTTTTAATACTTAGTAAGTTTTGATGAAGTCACAACTGAATACTGTTAACCGTAACCATTACCTTTACACATCGTAAAAAATTCATCCATTTTCTGCTGATGACTAGAAAAGTTCAATAGTTACTTCAATAGTACGTATACAAATAGTAAAAGATTGAAATGTTTATAAAAAGAGCTTCACGTAGAATACATAATAAAAAAATCAAAATAGGTTATAAGTATACATATTCAGTTAAATTCCAATATCCCTCTCAGCAGTTTCCCACATATATATATACACATTAGGAATCCTAAAGTTTAAATTAAGAAAGTGTGAAATATTCATCAACCGTGTTCTATTTAGCATCAAATTAAAAAATTAGCCTTTTCTAATGTGGAGCCAATATTTATTTAGTAATATCGCTGTCTCTATTATTCTGCAAAGAAATTAAATATTTGGTTCACAAAATACTAAGAAAAGACAAGGGAAATATCAGTTATTTTTGGCAATAACGATATTGATATTCTGCGTTCTAAAGAAGATATTTCTTTTAAAACATGTTGCTAAATCAATGGAAAAAAAAAAGAATTCGATTGCAGTTAAGATCGATTCTGTGTAGTAATTTTAGAAGTTTTAAAATAAACTTTATGACATCTTGAGCTCTTATTACAGCTTATGGTTTTTGAATTTTAATTACATTTTAACATCTGTCTTTTTTCTTTTATATGATCAATGTGAATATTTGTGCTTGAATAAAATCTCAAATCATTAATCATTCGAGAATATTCCCAGTTTCTTCTTCGGAAAAGACATTCTAATAGTATTCATTTGAATTCATTCTACTCATTCATTGTTTCATGTTCATTGTTTTATACTGTACAGTTAATAAATATTATTTTGTGTCATATTTTTATTTGCATATATAGTACTGGCAACATGAACGAAACTTCCTGGTTTTAAGATAGAAAATTTTGATTTATTTCATTTCATTTTCTTTAAACTGATAAACATGGTGATCTATACTTCACTTTATCCTGTCTTTATCGCTTTCCTTTATTACGAGAAGAAAACATTTTCCATATCGATGATGTTTTCTTTTCTGATTCATGATTATTGGGCTTGGAAGCTTCTTCCATTAAGCCTTTGGTATCGCTATTCCGGTGTTTAGCAGACGATATCCAGTTTTTCACTTCTATTTCTTCATCTTCATAATCTGTATCTTCTAAATTTTCATGAGTTGGGCTGGAGTGTCCAGAATCTCTATCCTCGATGCTAATCTTTAAAAGATCTAGAACATTCTGTTCTGGATTTTTTGGGTTATTCGACAGCGGAGGTAAAGCATGGTCGTTTTTGTAATTTTCTGGTTTATTACCGTCGGGTTCGAAAATATTGGGATTATCCAAGAACGCCTGAGCTAAATTGCGGCTTATTTGTTTCCTGATTGTCTTCTTCATCGACAGATGTCTCTCTAGATGTCTCATGTCGCGTTCCGTTAATGTTTTGCTCGTGTATGTGTTATAATTACCGTTACGATTCCCACTTTTGCGTGTCTCATCGAATCTTGGTTCATCTTTGGTCTTCAGATTCTCCTTCCCAGGATCAAAACCATTCCTTTTTGGTGATCCAGAAGTTTTGGGATTATCATAATAGTCCACAGGTGGTTCTTTAGTTTTTCGACGGCATCGGGGTGACTTTTCATATTGGCATAGGTCTTGTGTGTCACTCGTTGATTTCTTCCGCGAAGAGGTGTTGGAAAAGATATTCCGAATGTGTGGTATACTGCGATCCATATTGTTGCAGAATCTGAAATTTAAAAAGGAAGCATTTTAAGCATAATTATAATGAAAATTTAATGAATAAACAAAATTTAAACAAATTTAAATTTAAATTTTAACAAACACGTATAAAAGTTTCATTAGTATTTTCCTTTTAGAACTTTAATTCTTAAATGTTAATTTCTAAGGGTACCACTTTATTGGTATTTCTTTTTACTTTTGGTTTTGACTTTTATCCTTGCCTGCATGAATGACGAAACACGAATTGAATGATTGGAGAGTTAGGTTTGGAGGCAACTTCCCCTTGATAAGTCTGTCTCCTGCCTACTCAACAGTCATTCACTTATGCATTTTAAAAAATTGTTTGGTTTAATTTTAATTTGCTAAATTAGTGAATTTATTTTCATGGATTGGTTTTGCACTTGATTCGCTTATGCTTCTGAATTTAAATGATATTGTAGATTAGTTCAAAAATTAAATCTTTTATATGTTTGCACATTTTTTTAAAAATTTTTTTAAAAATTATTTTGGCTTTTTTTCTTTATTTTGGCTTTAAATTTGCTTTTTTACTTTTATACGTGTTTGTTAAAATTTAAATTTAAATTTGTTTAAATTTAAATTTCATTCCTTGCAGCAATAGCGCAAAGAATATTTAATTAAATTTGTATTTAAATTTATTTAATTAAATTCAATTTATTCTTATGAAACATGAATAAACAAAATATGCAGTATTCTTTACATTAAAAAGAACTTTTTCTTTCAGTGTCTAGATGTGATCATGTGATCTTTCTTTATAAAAAAAAATTGTCTGTTCACAATCTGTTGGAATTTGCACAATTAACTTTATTTTACTTTTGTAATAAACATAATATTGAAACTCATACCTTATAAACGCTTGTTGTTAATTTTTTTATTATAGTATTAATTAGTTTTTTTCTCTAATTTTATTTTCTGAATCTTATTGCTGTTTGAAGAAAAAATTTTCAGTTATCGATAAGAATTTTGAAGTTTTTTTTTATTTTCCCCTTGAACACGGCTAATTTATATGGAATTTAAATATTACTTCTGTTATCAGAATATTAGAACGTTAAAGAATTTAAGTGATAGTTTTCAGCTAGAGAAACCCTTCAAATAATGTGACTGATATTTCTTTTTATTTGATTACTATCTAAAAATTGCTGTTTGTAAGATATGGAGGGCAAAATTTAATCTTTAAGAGAATCCGTTAAAATACTAACTCACAAGTTAAACAACAAAATTTAACTTGTGAATTAGTATTTATTCAGCGTGTTATTGTGTTTTAATTCGTTAAAAATTAAACCGGTGAAGTATCTTATGTGGGCAGAAATGAAATTGCACAAAAAAAAAAAAAGTAATTACTGAAGGAAAAAAAAAAAAAAAAAAGTAACAAATTAAGGAGATTTAGTAAATAGTTTCTGCCATTTTAACAAAATGTATACACTTTTCATTTCGTATTTGTTATATCCATGCTATTGTGGTTGTTGCTTATGCTCACTTGTCTGACGCAGTCAACCCAAGCCCACGAAATTCCTCGAGGCAAGGAGCGCTAGATTACGCCTGTCGTTGCCAACCCCCTTGAGCGCTTAACAGATTGCAGTGCGATCAGTTCTGCCCCCAACTTTGATAGACAGCACCTCGAGGGGGGGGACTCTCTCCCCTTCCACCAAACCACACGAGAGGACTTTCGTCTCGCCGCATAGTTAGAGTGCCGCCATGCCGCACCGACACTGTACAAGCATCCAAATTGCTGTTGAACCGGGATTCGAGGCCGGGCTGGCTCTTCGGCAGGGAGATCAGCGACGCTAACCACTCTACAGGTTGGGCGGCTGTTACATTCATTCGTATTATAAGTTTCTGTGTCTCCTGTTGTTCAGGTGCAAATTCGAATGATACGTGACTTAATAAATATCGTTTTAGTTTATTTTAAGCTGTTATTCTTCTACAATACTGTACATTCTAGTCAATTAAGTAATCTAGCAGATTTGGAAATTATAATAGGTTAAAATTATGATTCAACAAAGCCAAGCTACGTCATAACGCTGTTTTAACTTGGATATAAATTTGGTCTTGATTTCTGTTACGGTTACAATTAAAATGCATTTAAATCAAAGTGTATCATGCAACATCTATTTAGCCTGAAAAAAAATGGGAAGTTATCTATTTAGAAAGAATTTATACATTACTTGTGATATTAAGAGTTCATAATGTTCTTTCAGAATGAAATTGTTCTGAATTTTACATATATGTAAATAAGTTTAGTGAAATCATATGTAAATTGTAGTATCTCTTGCATAATGTAACATGAAATCCTTCAGGATGTTCAGCATCGCCGGAAAAATAGGGTTACAGAGCTACGTGCATTTAACATTGAGGTAAATGGCCATCTCGCCAAATTGGCCAGACAGCGTCAAACTGGAGATGGTTTTGACGAGTCATTTTTGTCGCCAAATTTGAAGAGAAATTGCCTTTAGCGATCATTAGGCGACATTTTGATCCGATCCTTATGTAACTGTAACTGTATCCGGCCCTATGTAACTGTAACTGTGCATGCCTTCCAGCAATTTCGTGGAATCGAAGATACAAGAAGTTTCTCGAAGGGCGGGAAAAATCTGTGTTAGACTGGAGAGAGCACGAGTTTAACCCTTACCGGCACGCTACCTTTTAAAGTCGGAATTTTGATTAAAAAAAAAAAAAAAAAAAAAAAAAAAAAAAAGAGGTAGGCAGTCTAATTAGGCCTAGAGGAGTACAGAAATAAAATTTTGTGTACAGAAGTAATTTTGAATTAAGTTTGTAATTGAGTACAGAAGTAAAATTATTTATACTTTAAATAATGGTAGACATTTCTAAATTAGCTTTAATATTTTCCCTCTAATCGATGAAGAGGAACGAAAGTAAGCAGAAATTGATTTAAAAAGAGTTAAATATTAAAATCAGAGTAGATCTTCTAATACCAGTAAAATCAGAGTGAAAATATTAGATATCAGTACAGAAAGATATCCAGCACGAGTGAACTGACAGTCACCTACGCTAATGCATTTCTGATAATCTAGTTGGTTTCTATTCTGGTCCTCACATTCATTCCTAACAGGCAGGATCATGGGATGAAATGCAACGAATGTTTTCCGTCACCCATTGAAGTGACCCCTAGCGCCACATATATACTCATGATTATTCCAATCACCGCTGACCAAGTAAAATGACCCAATCATCGCAAGAAAAGATGAAAGATTTGCAAAATCAGTGTTAGAACAATACCAATCGACACCATTATGTCATACACATGGTAAACCACCCCCAGCCTTGGGCCATTGTAAGCTTTATCTTCACTGGACCTCGGTGGAAACTGATAGCATTTAATGCAATATGCGCATTCTCATTAAACATTCTAAGGTCAGCTGAAAATTTTTTTTCTCACCGACCGGTTTACTCAGGAGAACGTCTTTAACTCGACACGCACTGTTAAATATTCTCATCTAGCTTTTTAATTATTTCTTCTCTTAGATTTCCAAAGAAAGAAGCTGAAACCCCCTCCATATGTTTAACGACCCTCCCCATTTCTCTACCTTTTTTGAAATGCTTTGCTTGTGATTCACATACTTCATCCTACACAAAATGAGCGTGGAATTGACCTCTCTCTCTCCCCCCCTTCCGTGAATGCAAAAGGGTAGGCGAAAATTATGTTTTTGACTTGGATACCAGTTGACTTGCGCTTTGTGTTCTCTGAGTGAAGATGAGAAGAAAATTTTATACGGAAGTTATAGACGATATTTCGTTCGACTGGAGGTTTTACAAACAACAATGGTGCAGCGAAATGGATAATTATCAACTACAGGATTTGAAGTTTCCAAGGTCACTGTCCGTAAACACAAGACTGTTTTCGAAAACAAATAGAAAATAACGTTATCTTTCTACTAACGAAATTATTTTAATTAAATTTCGCATTCATGAGGTTGTATCACGCATGGAAGGATTTAGAAAAGCAGAATTTAATGTTAAATTCAAAAAGGCGGTTTACAAAGAATTGTTATTTTTCAGATGAGGCGAATCAGTGAAAATAAATTGATTATCCAAGCAAGAAAGTAATTTGTTTGGCAGCCTTTTGCCATTTAACTGGAACAATAAAATATCAAGAGAAATGCCATCTTCATGCCGTAATGAAGTTCCTCGCTTCTTTAGTTCTTCAACAGAAAAGCTATTAATATTTAATATGATACTGAAGATGAGTTTTTATCGTAATAATACTAATACAAATTCTAAATATTATTATTTGGTACTTTGTCTTGTATAGAAACGAAAATTTTCACACTAAAGAATTCGAGAATACAAGAAAATTGTTTCTTCTGAGGTTAGTGACATCATCATGCCGTTAATCATCCATATCCGGTAAAAAAGAATTCTTCAAAACATGTTAAAGATCAATTGGAGATCGCTTGCTGTTTTTGAATTGCCAGATTTCTTTTCCTTTCTATATTTAATTTTAGCCTTTTATTATGTCCTATTACTATTAAAGCTAAAGAGGAAAAACTTGCTTTTTTCTTCGTCTTCTCTGGTCTTAGGTTCAATAAAGTGGGCCTTGGATGGTATTTGAAAGTTCTCGTCGTTCATATCATGATACAATAAAAAACATAGCAAAGTAAATTGGATCTTTTACTTCGTTGCATCGCACTGATCTCGACTTTATACATGTCAGACAACTTAAATGTTACAAATGGCAATGGTATGACATTGGATAATGTAAGAAAACGAATATTGCCAATGGCAACGTTCTAGGTGTCATAGATTTATTTAGTGCAGTGATTTATTTATTAGCCTAGTCTTCTTGTTTCCTATCGTAACCCAAGTTAAATTATATAATGTGAAAGCTAATACATCAAGGCAATTATATTTTTTAGATTATTCAGTAATGCAATACATATTTTTGATGAAGGGAATACAATTATTACCCGAAGGGAATTCTCAGAAAAATGAAAAGATTCAGTCATTTAAAAATATACTAGTTAACCTAAC